TGAAACTGGCTCACCGCCAACAAGCGCTTTTGCATTTCTTTCACTTTCCACCGACTTTGCATTTTCGGCTATCTCGTAGTTCACCCATTCCTCATGCCCATTGTAAATCTTTTTTAAAACCTGCAATCCTGTTTGCTTTTTTTTTTTCATTGACAGATTATCACCGATAAAAGAATCATGAGAAGGCAGTTCTGCTCCGAACTGAATTTTAGCTAGGTTCTAAGTGCATGACTCTCTTTCAAATGGCTTGGAAAAAACATTACGATAAGTTAAAACAGATTATGAGAAAGCAGTTACGCCTTTTTTCCTCAGTAACTTCACTGGAATAAATGACTATGCCGCAATTGCAGTAATTTCTGCGGCGAAAGCAAAACTCATCATGTATCATCTGCTAAGTGTAAAGAGATGCGGAACGGAAGGGAGATGGTATGTTTTTCTAAAAAAGTGCCTATTAAGCGTTATTGGCTAGAAGTGAAAACCTGACCGGTGCGTGATGCATATGCTTTCAGATGACCAAGCATTTCGCACAGTTAAAATTAGATTTTAAGAATAAACTTCGATCGTTTTTACGTGAAATATATTACAACGAACTTTGCGCGCCTTCTCCTTTTGCTTCATTTGATACAGCCATCGCGGGCTCTCTGGTAAAAACACAAAACCAACGAACTGCACCACGCCTGGTAAAGCAGCAAAAGCAAACATCAAACGCCACCCAACATTAGTCGGATCAACGTATGAGAATCCGCCTAAATAGTTGGGCTTTCATAACTCTTTATCTGTAAAGCAGCAATGAGGAATCTTCTACAGTTATCTTGCATGATAACTTTCTGAGATGCAAGATAGGTGCTCAAGAAGTTGCAAACCCCCATGATTCAACTTTTTATTCAAGAACTCATCATTAATGTGGCTGGCTGCTGTAGTGGTCTTGACAGTGAAAGGCACTCAACTGCATTCGCGGATTTCGTGTTGCTAGAACTGCAAAGTTGTTTTAGGAGAGCAGAAAATTTCTCGGACGGTGCAGCATCAGCACGAAGAGGCAATAATCAAAAGGCGACAAACCAGCAATGATGTTGGAAGCCATCAAGCCGAATGTTATCATTAGCTGAAAACCAGTGAGTAATAGGCCACGAATGTGCAA